CCGGTACGGGCGCGACACTGAGGGTTGTGATCCGTTGCCGGTCACGAAAAAAAAAAAAAAATACCCTGAGTCCACCCCCTGTACTGGAGTCCTTTTTTCCATTGGTGCTTCCATTTCCTGTCCCCACTGAGTCCTAGCAAAACCTTACTGGGTCCAGGGTGAGTCCCTATAGCTCTGACCCCTAAACCCTGACTGTTCTTAGTGATTTTCTACCTCTATCCTTTCCCCAAGCCCATATGGACCCGTGACCATTTTACCACTCCAAACTGTACCTGAGTCCAGGATCCCACAGGCGGCCTCCTGGGCCACTGCTCAGGCAGCGGCACTGACTCAGCCCCTGTCTTGCAGGCTCTCCAGGTGGCCCGGCAGTTCCTACTGCAACAGGCCTCCAGCCTGAGCTCCCCAGGGAATAACGACAGCAAACAGTCTGCCTCTGCTGTACAGGTGAGGAGGGCGCCCTGCCTGCGCTGGGGCTGGGAAGGGCCGGGTCTAGAGGGTGGGCTTGGCACAAGGTGGGGGGGCAAGGACCCATCGGAGAAGTGCTCTTGCCAGCCCCCAGAGCCAAAAAGCGGGCAGCCTTCCAGAAGGAAATGCATTCGCTGCAGGGGCATGGTGAGGGAACTCCCACTTTCTCTCTCATCTCCACCTGCTCAGCCAGGCCCTGGGCTGGCCTCTGTCCCTGTCACTCAGAGTTTGTCTGTCTGTAGCTCTCACTGTTTCTTTCTACCTCTCTCACTGTTTCCTCTCCCCTGCATGGCCTCTCTCGGTCACTGCTCATGTTTCTGTTTCTCTGTCCTGTGGTCATTCTGTCTGTCCCTCTCTGTTCTGGGTCTCAGCCCCTCCCAGGCTCTCTCAGTTGCCATGGTCACCGAGTCCCCCCTCCCGTCCCCTCCCCCTTATCACTCACCTACCGACTCACTCTCTCCCAGTCTCTCTGTGTTTCCTGTCTCTTCCTGTCTCTCTGTCTCTTTTGTTTTCCTTTGCACAATCTGCCCTTTTTTCCCCTTCTCCCCTCCCCCCAGCTTGCCGGTCCATCTGGCTGGCTGGAGGAGGGGAGATCTGGGGGGCTGGGTGGGGGAAGCCAGGCCTTCTGTTTACCTTTTCTGTCACAAAGAACTTGGGAAAATTGCAGTCTGAGTCTGGGATGGGTCACAGTCAGGCAGCCGCTGCCCTCCCCCTGTGCACGCAGCCCGGCAGCCCCACTTCCCCCACCCCTCCTCACAGCAGCAGGGGAGGCTCGGAATTGGGGAAAGGATTATGCCGGGGCTTTGAAAAGAAGTTTATCTAAGGGAGGAAGGGTGGGCATGATCCTGAGCCTCTGGACTCTCAGGGTGGGGTACGGAGGGAAGTGAGGAGGAGAGTGGCATGGGGTGCAGGGTGCTCAGAGCAGAGCCCAGCACTGGATTTTGTCCTGGGGGAGATTCCAGTGCCCTGACAGAGTATCTGGGTTTTATATAAAATGAGTTTATGTTCAGAAAGCTCTTTGCAACCTTAGCAGTAGCCCTTTTTTAAAAATCTGGAACCTAATGAGACAACCCTCAATGGGGAGGAGTTGGGCAAAGAGGGGGGTGTGGCCTGGGGTGGAGGAGGGGAGGACAAAATCTGGAAAGTCAGTAAAGGGAGGAAGAGAAAGTTCTTGCACTTGCTACAATAATGTAGAAGGTTCTCACGTGTGATAGCAGGACTGGGTCTCTGAATTAATGACCCCTTCCACATACACTCCCTGCATCTGAAGTGGCCTTTGGGCTGCTGCTCTGAATCCTTCTCACACTGGGCTCAGCATAGTGTACCCCTTTCTAACAACTGGGAGGTAAGACAGGGAACCAGAATGTTCCCCCAACCAGAAAGGCCCTGCTGACCCAAGGCAAGAGGGAAGGAACATGATGGAAGTTGGAGGGACTGAGGTAGGCCTCAAAAAGGACTCCCCAGCTAGGTGCTAGGGGCACAAGCTCTGGGATAATTGAGAGAGGAAGGGAGGCTAGGAGTCCTCCTTAGGAGACCCTCTCCCTCCACGGTGAGAGAGGTCTAGAGGTTTGGGGGTCAGGGACACAGATAAAATGATCCTTTTTCTCAGGTCTTCTCCCTCCTTGCTTCCTTACCTCCCAGTAATTGATTCATTCATGCATTCAACAAATGCCATGTACTTCCTAAACTAACAACAGACATTTACAGAGTGCTTACCACAAGGCGGACAACGAACACTTTACAGTGTCACCTCATTTTATCCTCACAACCCTGTGGGGTAGGTGCTGACTAACCCCATCTTGCAGATGAGGAAATTGAGGCCTAGACAGGTTGAGTAACTTGTCCAAAGTCATACCACTAATAAGGGACAGAGCCAGATTTGAACCTAAACAGCAAGCTCCAGAACTTGCACATTTAATCTCTCCATTGTTGTTCTGCCTTGTGCTTGGTACCAGTAACGAACACCAGCAACACCCAGATACAGACACCTGGGCTGACGGTGTTCTGGATCCCAGGGAGATGGGGGTTCTCAGGGCCATCTCAGCTTCCCGGGAGCCTGGAGCCTTGACTGTTGATCCCTCTCTCCTTCAGCCCTGGATACCTTCCTTGCTTCCCACCTCCATCCCAAGTTTACAGTGTCCAAGGAGGTGGGGTCTCTGTCCCAAATAAGTTCCATGGCCTAGAAATAGCTTTTCTCTGAGCTCAAAGCCAGTGGGGGTTTAGGGGAGGGTGAGACACCTTCCCTGAAAGGAAAAGGGCATTTTGTTGATTTGGAACTTGAGTGAAATGGGTAACGAAGGGAGATTGATGGCAGCCCCTTTCCCAGTGGTCCCCACAGGACAGCGCTCTGCCCTCTCCCACCAGCAGGGTTGCCTGCCCGCTTGCCTCCCAGCCATGTTTGCTGCCAGCGTGAGATGAGTTTCCAAAACCAGAGTAGGTCTCCAGATCCAGCCTAGCAAGATTACCTGGTTGTGCTTAGTCCTGGGTCCTAGGCAGGGAGAGGTTGATCATAGAAGGCAGCACAGAGCACAGGTAGCTGAGAGTTGGGGGTGAGAAGAAGAGAAGTATCTAGGGCCAGGCCCCTTGGCTCTCTTGCCCTCCCCATCTGGAAGTTCTTCTTGATATCCCACCACTAATCTTTCTTGCTGCAGCTCCAACCCAGAATCAGTCTGAGAGCTTCCTTCTGGTCATTTGCAAGAGAGTTTAACCCAAACAAAGCTCCAGGCTGATCTCCCCACATTGCTCCGCATTCACCCAGGGACCCCAGACCCCATACTCAAGAGATTGAATTTGGGTCCTTGACTCTGGCACCAAATTGCATCCATCCCAACCCTCAGTTGCCAGATACGCTTTCTTTATGTCAAGCACTTTCCCTGTTCTTTCTGGGCAGGCCATCTAACCCAGCACACTGTATTCATGGTGGGTAGAACGTGTGGGGCCCTGAGCAGGGTCCCTGAGGGAGGGGTTGAGGCAGCTGCCAGCATTTAGCCTGGAGCTCATGCTTCCAGGGCTTTAGTGAGCATTTAGCTACCCTGGCCACTCTCCAGATGGTGATTCACAGGCCTTGCTGAGCCTACTAGCTGATGAGTGCCCATCCTGATACAGTCCAGCCTGGTGAGGGGCCCGTGGGGACACCAGGGGAGCTCCAGCTCAGTTCTCATCTCCAAAGGGCATGGGCAGAGCAGCTCAGGAGATCAGCTTGTGGCAACCACCTTGCTCACCCTTCTGGACCCTTTGGACCACCTTATGACAAGTGCACATGAGATGACCCATCCTATCTCTGTAGTAGCCTCTGCAGCCAGCTGCTCAGCCAAGAGGCAAGACCAGCAGGGGCCAAGGAGGCCTTGCAGGGTCATCTCGTCCATTCCCCTGCCTCCAAGTAGGAAAGCCCCTGGGAAGGAAATGCTACATCCTTTCTTACATGCTACTCTCAGTCCTGGTGCCTGGAAAGGTCTTCTGGGTGTCTGGTCTCAGTCTCTCCTGCTGTGGGCCATGTTCGTCTCCTCTAGTTCAGCTCTCTGCGATGAGAATGAGTGGCTGGTACTTTGGTCCTAAGTGACCCTCGCTGCACAGTGCCCTATAGGAGAGAGGGAAAGAACAGAAAAGAGGAGAAAGGGAAAATCCAGAAAGTTTTTAAATGATTTTCTTTACATTTACATAAAATTTAATGGGATACAAATCACTGTCACTCACCCCTCTCTCATTGTCCCTTTGGGGGCAGGGCAGGCTATTTAACCTCTCTAGGCCTCACTTTTCTCATCTGTGAAATGGTAATAATGATGATGCCCTCCTCACAGGGCTTCTGTGAAGATTCAATGAGATGATATACATAAAGGGCTTAGCCAAGTGCCTGGCACATAATAAGCAGTCAACAGCATCCTCTTTGTGCAGTCATGTGAGGTGGGGAGGATAGGTGCTCCAGATCCCAGTCAGCAGTCTTGTGATTTCAAAGACTAGTAAGTATCAGGAGCAAGAGCCTAGTTCACCTGACTCAGAAACCCAGTGCTCTGAGCTTACCACCACCACGGTGCCTCTCTTTGTTGGGTGGCCCAATGGAAGGAGGAAAGAAACGACAGTCTGTGATACCTCCTTGGTGTTGGGCACTCCCAGCCTAGGGTTTTACAACCCAAGTCTTCAGCTGGCAAAACCCAAGCTCTTTGAGCAACCACCCCAGCTGCCTCCAGGGCACCCAACAACAGACACAGGAGCTGACTCTGCAAGGGGGTGGGTCTGTGCTATTGTCTGCCCCACCCCCAGACCCCTCAAAGAGTGAGGACCATAACAGCCCTGCAGTCTGGCTTTCCAGAGAGCTCTTCTGGGGTACAGTTGTAGAGAGGGGAATTTGCATTTGGGATTTTGGCCTCATCGGCTCTTTGAGCCCCTAGATGGTCCCATTCTCATATGCTCTCCCTAACCATTCTCAAGACCTGCTCCGGGTACAGGGCAGGCAGTGTAGGATGCAGAGACACTGGGAACTGTGGAATACAAAGACCAGACTGGGGCTTGAATCCCAACCCTGCCACTTAAAGCAGCCAGACCTCTCTAAGTACAGGGCAGGCAGTGTAGGATGCAGAGACACTGGGAACTGTGGAGTACAAAGACCAGACTGGGGCTTGAATCCCAACCCTGCCACTTAAAGCAGCCAGACCTCTCTAATCTCACTGGTAGAAATGAGGTGGAAAAGCAACAAACAAAAACCACTCCTAAGGGCTAATGTGGCACATCTGCCACCGGCTTAGAGGTCTCTGAGAGCCTTCATTTACGTGGTATGTCCATGACCAAAAAGCTGGGTTGTTACTCCATGAGTGGGGTTCGACCAATAGTTATGGGGTGGGTGACAAGAAAGGGCAGTGGGAGTTCTCCGACACCCCTAGAGTCACTGCACCTCCCTGGTTGCTCCTTTGCCTGGGGATTTCCTAATCTGTGGTTTAAGGGGTGGCTCAAGACTGAGTCTGCCCCTGCCAGGAATTGAGAAGAAAACAAACTCCTCCTCCCCTGCCCCACAGGTGGTGCTGAGACTGGGGGGAGGGTCCCCTGGGGACCTAACCTGTCATTGCCCAGGACAAGTCCCTGCACAGCACTCTTCCCTGACTGGGCTGGCCCGCACCCCTCCCTTCCTGCCCCAGGGCCAGCAGAGGGGCCTCAATCTGCCGGGGAAGACATTTCAGCTCAGGGGAGCAGACACTTAGTGAATACCTACTGTGTGCTTGGCACTCTGCCAGGGTTTGGGAGGAAGAGAGGAGATTACAGAAGATACCTGTGCACATGGGGCTCACAGGGTGGTGAGGGTGGCAGACAGCTTCATCAAGGCACTTGTCCTGCTAAAACAGGGGGACAAGACATTGTAGCAGCTTCGACCTGGCTGGCCATGGCTGCACAAGCCTGGTGGTTCAGGAGAGGTGGGGCTGGGAAAGGAATGATATCATTGCTTCTTCCTGAACCTTTTCCCTGTAGCTGGATTCTTTGGTCCTCCTATAGAGGCCTAACCCAGGGCAGGGGGCAAAAAGCTGTTCTACTTTGAGAATCCTGGGAGTTCCAGCTAGAAGGAGTCATCTGTTGTAGTTCAATCCCTGTGTTTTATGTTTGAGGAGACTGACGCACAGCAAGTTCAGCACAGAACAGAGCTGGGAGTAGAAGCTTGCCCTGCTAACTGCCTGCCTGCTGTTCTTCATCCCCCACCCCCCACCCCCTGCTGTAGACATAGCTACACATACGTGCACACACATATCATCATGGTACCAACAGTGCTGCTCTGGGCACTGTGTGTGCCATCTAGACAGGTATGCTGGAGTGAGTGCTGTGTGCGTGAGCCGGGCCAGTGACCAGGTCTTCATGCCAGGGGGGCCTCTTTTTGAATCCTTCCCATGGCTCAGACCACCCTGCCAGCCAGGCTCATATTGCTGGTGGTGGTGTCAGAACAGACCCAGCAGGAGTTGGACATGGCTTGGTGTGCTGCTTCTCCCCGTCACTGGGTGAGAAGCCCTCCAAAGCCTGGGTTTTACTGACCAGTGTCACTAGGGTCTAATCTTCCTGCACTGAGGACAGCGCATCCTACAACAATAGCCAACCCTTATGAGGTTGCCGTGGGCTAGGCTTCGTCCTAAGCATTAATTTAATGGTTTTCACGATAACCTTGAGAGGTACGCACTATTGCTATTTCCATTTTACAGACAAGAATGACAAAGAACAAGGAGGTAAGTCACTTGTGCAAAAAGACACAGCCGGAAGGCAGCAGAGCCAGAATTTGAACCCAGGAAGCCCTACTTGGAGCTGCTCTGCCACTCCATGGGTGGGCCCCCAAGTGCTGCCTCTCCCCCGGGGATGGTGTCAAGGTGAGCTGGCTAATGGACTGAATCCTGCAGGTACCCGTGTCTGTGGCCATGATGTCGCCGCAGATGCTTACCCCCCAACAGATGCAGCAGATCCTGTCACCCCCACAGCTTCAGGCCTTGCTCCAGCAGCAGCAGGCACTGATGCTCCAGCAGGTGAGTCCAGCCCCAGGGCAGCTGGGTCCCCCTCCTCCAACCCTGTTTACTACCAACATTACTGAGGGCCAGAGCTGTCACAGAAACCAGAGAGACTGCTCAGGCCAGACAGATCTGCATTCCTCCAGGGCAGCTGGGGGAGGTCAAAGTCAGTCCTCAGCAGCCACTCCCCACCCCCTGTGCTCCCTTCCTGTGTGCTGGCCCCACTCTATCTCCTGAACTCCGAGGGAAGGACAAAGTGCTGGAACATGCTGGCACCTTGTCCCCATGACCTATTCAGGAGACCCACCATGAGGCAGGGAAGGTTCAGAGCTGTGGGATGAACCTCCCCCCTCCCTCCCATTCCCTCCCACCCAGTCCCTGCTCAGGGACCCTCCAGGCTGACTGGGGAGAGCAAAAGTCTCCTTGCCAGGCCATGTTTCATTGAAACTCCCCTCTCCTGCCCACAGGAGTCCAGACAGGACAGGGTTCTGGGTATCAGAACAGGTGGTTCTGGGCATCAGCAATCCCCTGCCCATGGTCACCCACTCCCACCCCTACCTTCCACCCCACCCAGCTGCAGGAATATTATAAGAAGCAGCAAGAGCAGCTCCACTTACAACTTCTCACCCAACAGCAGGCTGGGAAACAGCAACCCAAAGAGGTAAGAGGCTCCAGCAGGGCCCACAGCCCCCAAGACAGTGATGCTCCCCTGAAGAGAACCTCCCCCGCATCACCTGCAACCCCAGACATCTTCTGGCCACAGGCTGGGAATCTGGAAGTGTTCAGGAAAGAATTGCCTTATGGGAATAGTGAAAAACCAGGAAAAAGTTGGGGGAAGGGATCAAGGGAGCAGTGGGGGAGATGGTCTCTCTCATCCCCCTTCACTCTTTCTCTACTTGCTGGTGCAGTGTTGCCTCTGTGCACATGTGTGTGGACATCATCAGTATGTTAGTGTCTGGTGGCCCACGCACATGTCCAGCTGCCTCGTGGTCATCCCACCTTCCTGCCCACTTGTCTCTTAGATAGCCCCTCAGCCCTCCACTACTTGTCCTGGGAACCTTGCAGTCCCTCAGCAAACCACCTCCACCCACCTCAGCCTATCCCAACTACTGCACGCCTGCTTGTGATATCTTGCCCAGCCCCCTTCAGCGACCTCTTCCCTCACCCTGTGGGTTTGCTCTCAGAGCTCCCCTGCCTGCATCCCCTACCCCATCTGGGCCACAGAGCTCCCAAGTTTCTGTGCCAAGCCCTGCAGACCCCTACACCATGTCCCAGACACACACCTCCCTCCTGCTGCCCAAACCACAGCCCCGTTTTAAGTTGCCTCTTCCTAGAAGGCTGCCCTGATGTCCAGGCATTCTCCCTGCCCTTAGCCTCCCCCTCAATGGGTTTGCAATCACCGTGTTACCTGCCCATAAATCTCTAGGCTGACTCTGTCCTCTTGTCTCCTTATTGAATAGCCAGTCCCCCCCATCCCCATCCCACCCTAGGGCAGGCAAGCAGAGATGTCCCTGCCTCCCAGACATCCAGGACATGCTTGGCTCTTGGGCTGAGAAAAGACTTGCTGACAGCCTGACTTGTCAGTGCCTGTGTGAACTGAATCTGGGGGGACAGATGGGGGGTAAAATGGAGCCAGCGAACCAGTGCCTGGGCAGTGGTGAGGTAACTGTTCCCTGAGCCTGTGTCCCCATGACCAGCTGATGCTGATCTTTTGAAGTCCCACCAACTCCTTGATTCTCTGTAGCTAGAAAGCAAGAGAGGAGAGGAGCTGGGGGGGGGAGCATAAGGGGGGCACCCTGGGCACGTGGGAAGGGTGCCCGCCAGGCAGGATTGGCCCCCAGAGTCTGACAGGCTCATCGATCATTGTGATGAGAAGCACCCGCCCCCCCTCGCCAGGCATGCACAGCTGCGGTGCAGGGAGCTGAAGCAACAGAAGGCGGGAGGAGGGAGGGCGTCGTGCTGCGTGTCTGGGTCTGGCTGTGTGCTTGCGCGCGTGCGTGCGTGCGTGCATGCGTGTGTTTACTGCGAGGAGGCATGCAGCCCTATGGAAGCTGGGCCGGGAGCAGAGAAGCTACAGCTGCAGACGCCGCAACGACAGCTCCGGGGACTGATAGGCCCTGGGAGGGGGTGGCTGCAGGGTGGGGGCCAGATGGCATGCCTGAGGCTGATGGCACCTCTCTCTGCCCGCCTCCTCGGGCCCCCCACCAGGCACTGGGGAATAAGCAGCTGGCCTTCCAGCAGCAGCTACTGCAAATGCAACAGTTGCAGCAGCAGCACCTGCTCAACCTGCAGAGGCAAGGACTGGTCAGCCTGCAGCCCAGCCAAGCCTCGGGGCCCCTCCAGACTCTCCCGCAAGGTGAGTGGCCCACCACCCCCACCCCTCCCAGATCAGCCCCACTGCCCTCCCTGTACCCAAGAGCTGGCAGCCCCTGCTCCCAGGGATGAGGTGAGAGGCCCAATGTGTTCCCAGAGCCCTGCCAGCCTCCCCGTTTCTCCTACAGCAGCCGTATGCCCGACGGACCTGCCCCAGCTGTGGAAGGGTGAGGGTGCCCCTGGGCAGCCTGCCGAGGATAGTGTCAAGCAGGAGGGGCTGGACCTCACCGGCACAGCCACCACCGCTACCTCGTTTGCCGCCCCCTCCAAGGTCTCGCCTCCCCTCTCCCACCACACCCTGCCCAACGGACAGCCCACTGTGCTCACATCTCGGAGAGACAGGTACAGGGCCCAGGCTGGGAGGGGGTGCTGCAGTCCTGCACAAGGACAGACCTGGACCCCAAGGGATGGCACCTTGGTGGGGACTGGGAGGGAGGGATTGGATCTCAGGGACCTGGAAATTCATGCCCTCTTCCAGGGCATACAAAATTATGCTCGTTCTCTGGAAAACCTGTGTTAGGGACAGAAACATCACCAGCAGGGGAGCTGGTGCTGAGCCAGGCCTGGGGCTGCTGGGGTCTTCGGGATCCCTGACCACCACCTCCCTCTGCTTCCCCAGCTCCTCCCATGAGGACACCCCTGGCTCTCACCCCCTCTACGGACATGGAGAGTGCAAGTGGCCAGGCTGTGAGACCCTGTGTGAAGACCTGGGCCAATTTATCAAGTAGGTGTCACCCCAGACCCCCACCAGCAGGCTTTTCCTTCAGGGCCCCTCGTCTCCCCCTGCCAGCCTGCCACCTAGCTTGCCCCTTCGGGGCCTTCAGTCACTAGCTGTCCTACCATCCTCACTCCAGGGAAGCCTAGCTGCTTCTTTGTCCCCCATCAGCTCCCTGATCACCCACCCCCACCCCACCTATATTCCCAGGCCTGCAGCCTCCCCACCTTACCCCCAGAACAGGGTGGGGGATATGAGGAGAAGGGAAGGACAGATGTAAGCGTTTCTCTACCCGCCACCCTCCCCAGCCTCCCTCCAGATCTAGCCAGGAGAGTGACGGCTAAGGGCCGGTGGACAGGCAGGCGGGAGGCAGACAGGCGGCTGGCAGCAGGCAGCCAGCTGCCACAGCGTGCCAGGCTCTGTCACTGACTGATTAACTCTGCCGTCTCCCAGACCCTTGCAGCATCAGGGTCAAACAAATTGTTTTCACGCTTCGTCAGAGGTTTACTTAATTAGTTCATTTGCAATTAGATCTCTCTGTAGCTGGGATTTTAGCAAAGACATCAAAGGAAGCTGACGAGAAGGGAGAAGGAAGGCTTCCTCCGCTGTCCCGTTTTCCCACCTCTTTCTCCTCTTTGTATCTCTTGGTTTGTCTGCTTTTCAGGCTGTGGGAGGGATTAGAGGATGGGACGGGAGGGTGGTGACAACAGGAAAACCAGGCCAACTTTCTCTCCTCCACCCCCTCCTCCCCTCGAAGACACCTCAACACAGAGCATGCCCTGGACGACCGCAGCACAGCCCAGTGCCGGGTACAGATGCAGGTGGTGCAGCAGCTGGAGATCCAGGTGTGGCCAGGGGCGGGGGAGGGGTGGGAGCTCCAGCTCTGCCCACCCACAGCACTGACTTTCCAGGAAGGGTTGGTAGGGAGAGGGTCTCATGGGTGGGTCCCATGGTCAAAGCCACCATCTTATGCTTTCTAGGTCCTAATTACCATGGTTGTGAGGTGAGGACAGCTGGATGCTGAGGGGTAAACCGAGGCTGGGGCATCTCTGCTGGGAAGTCCAGAAGAGACTCACACAACATAAAAACAACAAAAATAATATTAACAGCTAACATATGAAGCACTTGCATTGTGCTCTACTATATGCTTTACCTATATAGCTCAAGGAATCTCAACAACCTTGTGTGGTGGGGACCACGATTATTCCCATCCTACAGATGGAGAAAACAGAGGCACAGAGAGCTGCAGTCACTTGCCTGAGCTGATGAGTGGCAGAGCTGGGATTAGAACCCAGGCAGTCTGGCTCCTGAGTCTGAGCTCTATAGACACTCTGTAGCTACTCAGGACAGTCCAGCAGCCAGCCAGGCAATATTTCCCTACTTCCCTCTGGCACCTAGCAGAGTGTCCTGCTGTGGGTGGGAGGGTAGTCCTGAGAGATCTATTGAATTTATGAATGGGGTGAGTGAATCATTCATCCGTTCCTGCATCTCCATTCAGTCCGTGAGGGCCCTCTCACACACAAGTGCCACTGCACTAGGCACTTGGGTGTTGTTCAGCCACGGCCTCTGCCCTCCCTAGGGAGAAGAGTGGTGTGGTGGATGGGCTCCAGCCTGGGACAACAGGGAGGGCTCTAGGGGTCACAGTCCGGAGGAGGGAGGGGGAGGGCTTCACGGAGCAGGCAGTCCCTGTTCTGGCCTTGAGGATATAGAGGGGCCAGGGGGGCAGCAGATTACCAAGGCCTTCAGGTAGTGGGGAACACAGGGAGCGGGGATGCTGAGGCATGGAGGTGAGTGGGGGTGAGGAATCTGGTGCTGGAGGGGTGGGACATGGAGGAGGAGCCCACCCCTCTGAGGCGCAGCCTCCTGCTCACCTCCGGCTTTGCCCCTCTCTGCAGCTCTCCAAGGAGAGCGAGCGGCTACAGGCTATGATGGCCCACCTGCACATGCGGCCCTCTGAGCCCAAGCCCTTCAGCCAGCCAGTGAGTGACTCTCCCCTCCCTGTCACCTTCCTGGAGCCCCTCTGCAGCCCCTAGACCCTTGGGGCCCCCACCCCTGGGCACTGGTCTCAGCATCCTCCCCATTGCTCACAGCTGAACGCGGTCCCCGGCTCCTCCTCATTCTCCAAGGTGACCATCTCTGCAGCAGACTCGTTCCCAGATGGTCTCGTGCACCCCCCGACCTCGGCTGCTGCCCCTGTCACCCCCCTACGGCCCCCTGGCCTCAGCTCTGCCTCCTTGCACAGCGGAGGTCCAGCCCGCAGGAGAAGCAGTGACAAGTTCTGCTCCCCCATCTCCTCAGGTGAGGGCCACCAGGGCTGCGGGGCTGCCACTGGGAGGGGCGGCTTCCAGGCTGGGCCCCCATCTGGCTGCCTCATCCTCTGCCTGTCTCCTCCAGAGCTGGCCCAAAATCACGAGTTCTACAAGAATGCTGACGTCAGGCCCCCCTTCACCTACGCCTCCCTCATCCGCCAGGTGAGTACAGATATCCTAGCCCTCACTGCAGCCCGGCCTCCAGGTCTCAGCCTCCAGGGAGTACAACTTTGCCTCTCACGCCAGCCTCTCCCTCTTGCACCTGTGTCTGCCTTCTCCGGCTCTCTGCAGGCTGCAGCTCAGTGGCCTGCCACTCATGTGCATGTGTCTCTGGGGGCACACACACTGGTTTTTACTTCCCACTCCCACTGTGGGTAGTAAATCATGTGCTCCTTTCCATGTACACACACTCCCGTGACAGAGCGTGGTCACTTAGTCTGCCTCTCTCTCTCACACGCACACCTCTGTTCCCTCCCTCGTGTCTGTAACCCTCATGACCTGAATGTTCACGTGATATTCACACTCATACATGAACATGCATTTACACACATGTTCTCTCTCTGGTACCCCCTGTATTAGTCTGGGTTTTTTTGCTTATAACAAAATACCTGCAACTGGGTGATTTATAAAGAAAACAAAATTTATTGCTTACAGTTTCTGAGGCTGGGAAGTCCAAAGTCCATCTGGTGGTGGTGATAGTGACCCAGGGGCCTCACATTGCAGGATGGTGGAAGCAGAGAGAGTAGAGAGAGAAAGACTCTTCTCTCTCTTCTTTTAAAGCTCTGAGAACCATGCCCTTGACCACCATTTTTTATCCATTCACTACTGCATGGTCCTAAAATCTAATCACCTCTTCAAGGCTCCACCCTTCCACTACCATAATACAATTTCCCACCCTCTTAACAGTCACAGTGGGGGCCAAGTTTCTAATACCTAGGGGGACACAATTCAAAGTTTAGTGAGTTTTGGGGGACATAATTCAATCCACTACACCCCCATAGGTACGCACACCCCTACGCCCCTACTCACATTCTGTGATTCTGTGACACACACACACACACACACACACACACCACACCACACCACACCCCACCCCCGTGCTTAGGTTGCCCTTTGCCAAAATCAGGATAAATTCCAAATAGCCCCCCACCCCACAGATATATCTCTCCCAAGAACACTGCTTTTGACCTTACTGCAGGGTGGGGCACTTGAAGCCATTTCTCCCCCAGAAGGTGCTCTTGTGCTCCTTGCACAAGTGCACAAACTTTGGAGCCCTGTGCTCCCTTCAGCCTCAGCTGGGCTGTGCAGCCTCCCTCTCAGGGGACTCACAAGCACCCACCCATCCTCTTATCCACACATTTCTGCAGAGGATCTCCTCTGTCGCAGGGTGGGTTAGGGGCCAGGCAGAAGGGAGAGGTCCTGGGGGAGATCACAGAGCTGTGACCCTTCAGTACCCAGACTGAGGGTCCCTTTGTTCCTTCTCTGCCCACAGGCCATTCTGGAAACCCCCGACAGGCAGCTGACCCTGAATGAAATCTATAACTGGTTCACCAGGATGTTTGCCTATTTCCGCAGAAACACTGCCACCTGGAAGGTGAGGCATGCCCCTTCCACCTCCCCCAGGCCTGTCACCCTCCAACATCTCCACATCGCATTGAGACCAAGGATGACTAAATTAGTCCCCTAAACAATTATCCTGCAGAAATGGCCCCACCATGTGCTCCTCGCCCCCACTTCAGCGGGACCTGTGGAGTGTTCCAGAATGACTTTTAATGACTCCTTCCTTCCAGCCCTGTGCTGCCTTCTTGCTAGGAAGAAATCCTTCTCCAGGGTGCTTCCCCATGGAGACTTCAGCTCCATGAAGTTGGGCCTCCGGGAATCAGTAATGCCCAAACGTGGTAGCGAGGCCTTGGCTGAATTCACAGAGTCCCTAAGGGTCTGGGCACCCTGGCTAAAGGCACATGTTCCAAAGCCTGGGGTTGGGGTGGGGGATGTGCAGTCATGGACACATGGATGGACTGAGAACCATGGACCATACTCTGCGGCACAAACACAGGCACTCTCATACTCTCCCAGCTCTGCCATCAGTGGCAAGAAGGCAGTTGTCTCCATCCATTTAGTCATTTCAATGCCCTCAGCCACCCTCAGCCATAAGAGTTTTTCTGGGGGACAAGAGGCAGGCAAGAGGGGGACTCTAGAAAAATGGGACACAGAGATGTGGGCTGGGGCACTAAGCCATTTATTTTTCTATAACTAGGATGGGGTGCTAGCATGTGTGCGTGTGTGCGTGTGTGTGTGTGTGTGTGTGTGTGTGTGTGTGTGTGTGTGTGCAGAATTTTCCAAAATGGGGCAGGGAGAGGAAAGCAGATAATAAAATGGGCTTTGGTGGTGAGGAAGCTGGGAGCCCAGCCCTCCCCTGCTGCCCCTCGGCTGGGGAAGGTGGGCTGCTGCTGCACGGAATGGAACAGAATTTTCCAAAATGGGGCAGGGAGAGGAAAGCAGATAATAAAATGGGCTTTGGTGGTGAGGAAGCTGGGAGCCCAGCCCAGCCCTCCCCTGCTGCCCCTCGGCTGGGGAAGGTGGGCTGCTGCTGCACGGAATGGAACGGGGACTGGCCGAGGACTCCTGTTGTGCTCACCTGAGTGGAGGAGCGGCTGGGCCGGGAGCCATCTCTGATCCCTCTTCCCTGCACCCTCAGAACGCCGTGCGCCACAACCTCAGCCTGCACAAGTGTTTCGTGCGTGTGGAGAACGTCAAGGGTGCCGTGTGGACTGTAGACGAGCGGGAGTATCAGAAGCGGAGACCACCAAAGATGACAGGGTATGTGGGCCAGACCTGGGTGGGAGGACCTGCCCCTGGGTGTGAAGCAGGTCACCCCCCATGCCTCTCCAGGACCCCCATGGGCACTAAATCCTTCCCAGTTTGAGGGGGTATGGGGAGGAAAGGGGTGGAGGAGCCCAGTGCTTGTGGAGGCAAGGCTAAAGTCTAGAAGTGACAATCAGAAGGCAGACATTTATGGATTGTACTGCCCTCACTCCTGACTGAAGGAAGGAGCCAAGGGGAACCTAGTACCAGAGAGAGGCAGAGGTCAAAGCAGCCACAGCCAGAGCTGGGACATGGGCGATGCTGGCCGGTGGGCCATGGGTGAGGGGCTGCCATGCCCAGGGCCCACACTCTTCCCCCAACTCATCACAGATGAGCCGACCTCTGAGACCCCTGGGGCCTGCCTCTTCATTTCACAGGGGAGGATGTCCAGAGAGGACAAGGGGCTGGCAAGAGGCCACACAGATTTGCAGCAGAGCTGGGTCAAGGACCAGGTCTCTGACCTCCCAGTCTTCTGTGCTCTGCTCTACCACACCGCATTTTAAGTGGATACAGGAACCTGGGAGAGGGCCAGAACCTCCCTTTTGGCTTCCCTAGTAGCACCAGTGACCTTCTCCCCACTCCAGACACCCCAACCCCCTCTTGCCTGTGCCCCTTGGACCAGAGGTCCCTGGGGAAGTAGAGAGCGGTCTGAAGCAAGTTAGATGGCTATCTGTGGGGTGTCTGTTCTCCTCAAAGATTCCTTCTTTCCAGGCAAGAGCCTTTCCATCCCAGGCAGCTGTGGGGGCTGGGGCAGGGTGGGGGCCCAGAAAATGGAAGGGAAGCCACCTCCTACTGAGTACCCCCACACACCAGTCTCCACGGTAGGCATTGTCAGGTCTCATTACCAACTTGGAATCAGAAGACCTGGGTTCACGGTGCACCACTGCTTCTCACCAGCTGTGTGACCTTGAGCCAGTGTCTTAACCTCTCTGAGAGGCTCTGTAAATGGTGTCTTCACGGTGGAAGAGGGATAGCCTTGAGCCACTGCTTTTCCTGACCTAACTCCTGAACACCTTCTGGTGCAGAAAAACCTTTTGTGTGGAGCATGTGGGGACAGGCTGAGCACATGGCTGATTATTACATGTCCCAGAATTCAGGATGGTAAGAAAGTGTGGATTGTGCAGACAGGGAACTATTGAGGCTCTAGATCGGACCTCGCTGAACATGGCAAAATATAGACTGGAGAGAAAAATGCTGGGGGCGGCATGACACAAAGACAGATGTTGGGAGGGATCCTGGTTCCCACTCATCAACTCTGAGACTTTGGACAGGTCTCAGAGCCCCAGTGAGCACAGCACCCTCACCTATGAAGGGGCTACTGCAACCTGCTGGGCCAGCTTAGTGTGAGGCTTGAATAAGATGGAGCGTGCACCAGGCTCAGCAGATGCAGCCAACCCTGCTCTGGCCTCCCAGGACGATGAAGGGGACAGTACCGGCACAGCACAGTCCCTTGGCTAGGGTTGAGAAATGTGAGTGAGGGGAATGTGAATGAGTGAGCCAAAGACTGCCTTCTCTCTCCTGCAGGAGCCCCACCCTAGTGAAGAACATGATCTCGGGCCTCAGTTATGGAGCACTTAATGCCAGCTACCAGGTGACTGGGCCCCGCCCAGAGCCCTCCCACCCCCTGCTCTTCCTCCAATCGCACTGGCCTCAGAGAAAAGACTTCCCCACCCTTCCCTGCAGAAGGCCTGTCAGAAGAGGGCAGGACACCAGGAGGAGGTTGAAGAGCACTCCGTGGTCCAAAACCCCAGCCCTCTGCCCCACCCCAACCCCGGGTCCAGCTTCCACCTCTAGTCTCAAGGCTGGGTTTGGGTAGGGGTGGGGTAGAGAGCGAGGAGGTTGGCATAGCCAGTGGCATCCCTTTCCCTGGCTTGTCAGTCTTGGGGTCCTGTGCCCTGGGAGAGGAGATGAGCCACGCCCAGATTCCCAGGAAAGCTGGGAGGTAGGAGAACGAGGTCTGAGATGGATGTGCCCATGATGGGGCCAGCAGACAGACTCATGCATGAGACCCTAGGGGTTGGGGAGGGATGGCGCCTGACGGGGTGGGCCCAACCCTGTGCCCCTCCAGGCCGCCCTGGCCGAGAGCAGCTTCCCCCTCCTCAACAGCCCTGGCGTGCTGAACCCCGGCTCCGCCAGCAGCCTCCTGCCCCTCAGCCATGATGACACAGGCGGCCCCGTGGAGCCGCTGCCCAGCAACGGCAGCAGCAGCCCCCCCCCCCTCTCCCCACCCCAGTACAGGTGAGCACAGACACAGACCGGCCACCACTGTGCCCTGACACTTTAGGAAGGAAGATCTCCCCCTACAGGAGGAGTCCCATCCTACCCCCCACCCCCACCACACCATGCCGCTCTCCCAGGACAAGCAACCTATGTCATCCTGCTGCTGGGGCCTCCCCTCAACTCCCTTCTCCTCCCAACCTCTCCTCTCTCTCTCCTCACTCCTTCCCTTCTTTCCCCTTCTTATTTCCCCTCCTCTCCCGTTTCCTCTTCTTCCTCTGCTCCCGCTCACCTCCCCTCTGCTCTCCCATCTCCTCTCCCCTCTGCTCCTTTCTCCTCTCCTCCCTCCTTCCCAGCCCAGGGTTTTCCCTGGGGGAGATCAGACCTGGAGGGGATGATGGGATCCTGGAGAGGGGACTGTGGGAACCCCAATGTGCCCCAGAGTTCTGGATGAGTTTGGAAGGACGTGGAGGGGATCAGGGAAGGGACCCCAGTGCCCACATCGTCCCTTCTGCCACCTGCCTTCTGCAGCAGCCACCAGGTGCAGGTGAAAGAGGAGCCGACTGAGGTGGAGGAAGACAGGCAGCCCGGGCCCCCCTTGGGCCCCCCCAACCCGAGCACTGTGGGGCCTCCAGAAGACAGGGACCTGGAGGAGGAGCTACCCGGAGAGGAACTGTCCTGAGGGCCTCTGGGACAGGCAGGGCTGGGGTGAGACCCCTCCCTCCCAGAACCCAGGCCCCACCTACCCCCACTCCACAGCCCCTCCCGAACCTCAAAGGCACTTCCAGGACTCAGACGGGGAGAGGCCTGGGCCAGCAACTCCCCTGTGACCTGACTGACAAACACGCGGGGGCAGGGATGGTCCCCGCCCCCATGGGGACAGAGAACCCTTGGTTTGGGACCTGTAGAGGACACAGAGGGCCCGGACCCCTCCTCAGACCCTCCTCCACATCTGAATACCGCCTTTCCCCGACCACCAGCAGCAGGGCCCTCCACCCCCACCAGCTTCACCCGACACACACAGGGCCCCTCAGCGCCATGGAGACCCGCGGGCGGGGCTGTCACCCCTCTCAAACCCAGGGCCCCTCACACCTGGCTCTGGCAGTGTTTTCTGGCCAGAAGTCCCCCTTCCCTAATTTGTGTTCACTTCCACCTTCTTTTCCTTCCGTACTGTGAAGAAATAACTCTCCATCCCCAACTCCTACCCCTGCTCTGGCCTGGGTGGGGACTGAAGTGTCACCATCCCCAGAAGAAACCAGCCCCCTTGGCTGTTGGGGTGGGACAAGTGTGCCCTGTGGGGGTCCATGTGAACAGGACCACCTGGCTTCAGCCTCTTCCCCAGACCTGAGACAGGACCCAGGCTGAACTGGGCCCCCACCCCACCCCTGTTTGCTGGGTGCTCCCCAACCACCCCGCGCCAGAGAGCACAAGAGGAGACCCAGTGCCTCCTGCCTCCTTCACAGAGAGATCTGTGCCAGGTGGACTTCTGCGGGTGGAGCCGTGCCCCTGAGGCTGGAGTTGGGGCCAGAGGCGGTGCCTGGACTGCTGGGAAGCATCCAGGGCACAGGGGAAAGGAGAGGCTGAAACCCACCTTCACCTCCACCCCGGCCTGCAGGTCCCCCCACTGCAGTGCTCTCTCACCCTCCCTCAGCACCCCTTCCCTGTTCCCCCAGTTAAACGGATGACCAAAGACCTTTCTTATGCCAGAAGCAAAAACCAAAACTTTTTGTTGGCTTTTTCCTTTGTCGCCTCCCAAACACCCTGCTCTCCCAGCCCCCCACCCTGGCCCCAGGCTGGAAGCCCTCCCTTCACTTAAGTTATTGTTTTAAACCAAAGTTTACAGTGTCTGTTGGTGGCCAAGACCCTCTCCTTCCACCCCTCCTCCACCCCTCCCCAAGGACCCTGGGACTCAGTGGAGGTGGAGGCCCTGCGCACCTCCCCTCTGCTCTTGCCCAGCTTGGGGGAAGGAGAGAGGGCAGAGGGGAGGAGGTGGGCACACAAGCCCCCACCCCCAACCCTAGGCTGCTTCCTGGGGGCTCTCCAGACCCCTGTCTAGGACCAAGTCCCCCATCATGCTGGGAGTGTGGATTCCAGCAAAAGAGCTGGAAAAAACAGACTCCACAAACCCCCTATGGGGGACCCCAACTTAAGACCAAGGACTGGGCATGTCGGATGCTCATAACACCCCGGGCCAGGCCCTTTTACTGAGAAGACTCCTTGGATATTTCCCAAGAAACCCCCACATACACCCCTTCACAAGCCATCCCTCCCAAGAAGCAGGGGGCACTCCACCCCCTCCCCCTGTATTCCCCACCTGTGTTCTATTTGACCAGCACAGAAATATTAAACGTCCTCTATTCACCGGGCCCTGCGTGTGTCACCAAAGTGAGGGAGGGGAGGGGCATTAAAGCTTAAAGAGTATTCTGTGCAGGGAACTGGGGCAGGGACATCAGCTAGACAGTGGGGGCTCCTGCAGGGGTGGTTTCTGCAAGTATGGGTGGGTTGAGTGGGCATAGTGCCCCAGCTGGCACATGGGCTGGTGCCCCAGCTTTAGGGACAGGGGCTTCCTCTGGTTCCTCTGCTCCTCCTGTCTCCCTCCTCCACTCTTAAACTAGGTCTCGCCATCATTCTTCTGTTTTTCTTCCAAAGCCCCAGCCCTTGGCCCAGTTCTTTCACAAGTTGCTATCATGGTGTTTTCAGCCAGGAAGTCAGTTTACTCCAGGGATGGAGAGGACTCCTGCTGCAGGAGATGGCCACACCCATCCCCAGCTGTCCTCTGGGCCATCATCCACATCTTCGTGGGGCTACCTGGACAGGTGTGTGTGTGCTTATGTGCATGTGTGGGGGTGGCATCCTGCTGCTTGTGGTAGGGCTCTTAGTGGATGTGTGCATGCCCATGTGGCACATGTGTGTGTGGTGACTGTAGTGCTGGTGGCTTGGGGTCAGAAAAGGGGTTATTCAAACCCATGCAAAGGGGACCCCTGGACAGTTAGGGGGAGAGAAGGAAAGGAGGAGGTAGTCTAAGCTGTTAAATCAGAGATGGGTCTTGACACCTCCCTCAGCCTCAGCAGACCAGCCCACATTCCTCTCATCCCACGTCAATTCCTGGTACCCTACCCTGCTGCCCCTCCTCCACAGGGGAGCCCCTCCCACCTTCTCAGACCCTGGCGCCCATCCTTAGGGCCTCGCTGTTTCAGGCCTTATCCCTGCTTTCCATGGTCGCCTTTCAGACACTCCCTCCTCGAGGGCAGGTAGGGCCCCCGCCCCGGGGAGAGGGGGCAGGGTCCAGGAAGGAGTGTGTGTATTTGGGGGGAGTGGGAAAGGGCAAAATGTTGAGAAAGCAGAACTGAAATCACACCTTTCTGCAAATCTCCACCAAACTGCTGGAACTCTCCAAAAGCCAAATTCGGGAGGCAGGTGGGGCAGGAAAGAGGGTAGGATCTGGAGACAGAGTCTGCTGACTTCTCTGTCTACTCTTGAGCCCGCCTTTTGTCCTTTTCTGCAACCACCAATTTCTTTGTCTCCCTTGCTCTCCCCCCCCCCTCTCTCACTCCCCTCCACTCTGCCTCCCTGCCACCACCTGCTCAGAGCCTGGGGTGAATTCCCTGTCCCCCACTTAATACCTCGGGAGGGGCCAGGGAGCTCGGTTTGAGGGTCTCAGAGCCCCTGCACACCCCATCCTCCAGGCTCGCCCGCCACACACGGTGAGAAGTAGCACTGCTGTGTCCTGTAATCTGCCCTCCTGGCCCTCCGTGGAGGCTGCCGGGGCCCTGCACAGTAGAGGTAGCTGTATGTAATCTGTGTGGACAGCAGCGTTCCCTACGATGCAGTAAAGCAGTTACCATGATTTTGCTGTGGCTGCTTCACCTCCTCCCTCTACCCCTCACAGTCAGACCAACCAGCCCCTTAGAAAGCCCCAGAGAACCCAGAGGTGTTGGCTGTCAAGCTCCCAGCTCCCTCACTCCACCCCTGGAAGAAGAGAGTCTGTTCTTCAGGCTGACCTCAGGGACACCTTCCTATGCCAGACTCTTAAGTGACAAGACTGAACCAGCCTCATTCTCAGGAAAGGTCCTCCAGCAGTCTAACTTTAGTTTCTCCTTGCTTCAACTACAGTCATTTTCTTTTTATTTCTCCCACAGGGATATGGCAAATGTCTGGTCAGTGCATTTGGAGGTGGGGTGATGATCTATCATTGGCATTGGGGGCAGAGAGGGTCTTGCAATAGAAGAAACAGGTGCTGCCATGGACCACCACCTCTTGGATGCATTGGGCTCAGTCTCAGAAATTTTCTTAGTATCTGACATCCCACATGAGGCAGCACCCACCCCCACCCCCCCATTATTACCTTCTTTTAAGTGAGAACCAACTTCCCAATCGCACCTTGCTGCCAGGAAGTCCTGCACATTGTCTAGCTTCTCTCCTTCCTACTGATTCACAACTGTTGGAGGCAAGTTGTTAGCTATGGCTGGCAATTTGTCCTTGTCTTAGTATTTCTGCCCTGATGGAGGAGCTGTCTTTTGTCTAGCTTCTCTCCTTCCTACTGATTCACAACTGTTGGAGGCAAGTTATTAGCTATGGCTGGCAATTTGTCCTTGTCTTAGTATTTCTGCCCTGATGGAGGAGCTGTCTTTGGAAACTGTTCTCAGCCTGGCAAAAAAAAAAAGAAGAAGAAGAAGAGGAGAGAAATATTCCAAGCCGGACATTCTGAGGGTGGGCCAAGTCGTTCTCTGGGCTCTGCATCACACCAAAGTCCCTGTCCGCCTTTCGCCTGGCACTCAGAAAGCTCCTTGCTCCCACTACCATTAACTCGCCTATGGCTTTTTGCCGGTGGCCAGCAGAGGGCGCTTTAGACAAAGCAGACCTTCTTTTGGACAAACTTGCCCATCTGAGGAGGGGGTGCAGCACAGGGGTGGGGTTCAACTCCCTGTGAGAACTCCAGCCCCTCTGAACATGTCCCAGACAGCAGCCTCTAGCCCAGGGTAGGAAAGGGCTCATTCTGCTATTTGGGGGCTCCCCAGACCCCACCAATTTGTGACTTATGAAACATCCCAAATAGACATGGGAGAAGGCAAGAGAGATGAAGAGAGTGCGCTGCAGGGAAGATATCTCAGGAGCCAAGCACACCGGGCACAACGAGGGGCTCGATACATATTTTTAATAGTAATAATTATTAGCCTTTAATGAGCTCTTACGTGCCAGACACTATGCTAGAAGTGTTGTATTTCATTTAATTCTCACAACAACTCTGAGTTAGGTGGTATTATTATCCCTGTTTTACAGATGATGAAACTGAGACAGAGAATCAAAGAGATCAGCAGATAAAGTATGAAGAATGAAGAATCTGTGGTTTGCAGTGGGGAAGGAAAAGAGGCTTTGTGGCTTAGTCCCAGCTTTCTAGTGACACTATTTACTTTGACATCCCCCCCCCCCCCCCCCCCCCCCCCCCCCCCCCCCCCCCCCCCCCCCCCCCCCCCCCCCCCCCCCCCCCCCCCCCCCCCCCCCACATTAGGCACTGGCTTTAGAGTTCCCCAGCTGCCATCCTTCTCTAGGCAGATTGAGGTGAAGTGGGGCTTGGAACAGGCACTGAAAGCCAGAGTGGACCAGGGAAAGAAGGCTGAAACACCCTGTAAAAATAATCTAGTAGGGCCCTTCTGATGGAACTGCAAGCCAGGGCAGTGAAGACAAAGAGGTCCTTGTCTGAGGTGGGGAATCTAAAATGACCCCCCCACACACACACACACACAAGCATATACCTGAGCACATGCACAGACACATATCCACACACGTGCCGCTGCTCAGATATGCTTACACCCAGAGGTGCCTTCCATCTTTAATCATCTTCAAGTGACTGGCCTGTGCACAGTGTCACAGGGACACATGCCTCACAGTAGCCACAGTGACATTCCAGTGACATCCCATTGCGCAGGCACACATACCCACACACACAGGCCCCGAGACCCCTCATAAAAGTTTAGAAAAACAGCCCCTCCCAAAGAAGGTGGGCATGATGGCAGCCAAGGCTGAAAGGCCCTCTGTCCTAGCCAGAAGGGGCCAGCACAGGGACACATGCCTCACAGTAGCCACAGTGACATTCCAGTGACATCCCATCGCGCAGGCACACATACCCACACACACAGGCCCCGAGACCCCTCATAAAAGTTTAGAAAAACAGCCCCTCCCCAAGAAGGTGGGCATGATGGCAGCCAAGGCTGAAAGGCCCTCTGTCCTAGCCAGAAGGGGCCAGGGACCGGGCCTGGGGGACTGGCCACCTTCGGAAAACGGGACAGTTAATGGCAGAGCAGAGGTGGGATGGGTGCAGGGAGCACTCTGGGGTTTCTAGCCCAGGCCCTCCTGCCAGGAACTGGAATTCAGAATGTGTCCACATCAGGCTTCTGCCTGGGCTCAGAAGTCAGCCCAGTGCAGGGGGTAGGGGTAGTGGTCACCAGCAAAACAGGACTCATCTCTCTTCTCAGAGCACTGGTTCTCTGGCTGGGAAACAGATGGAGATGGGCATGGGCCACGAGGGAGTACACTCAGGCCTGCGGGAGCCAGCCCAATGAAGGCTCCAAGCCTGCATCTGCTACTTGCTAGCTCTGTGGTCTTGGGAAAGCTTTTTGACCTCTCTGGGCCTCCTTTCCTCATCTGTAGAATGAGGTGGGGCAATCATCTCTACATCGGTGGCTTGTTGAGAAGATTAATAGTATAATATATAAAAAGATGTTTGGTGCATGATAAGCCCACACCACATAATAGCTGCGACTAAAATGTAGTACTGGATGCCAATTACCTACCATAGGGGGTGGGAGGACTGGAGTGCTCATTGGAGGTCAGTGTGTCCTGGGAGGCTCCCTGGAAGAGTCCTGGAGTTGGGGAGGGGAAAATTTGGATAGGAAGGAGGAGAGAAAATTCTAGGCTTGCAGAGGGGTTGAGGTGGAGCTTGAGGAAGGTTACTGTGGCAGAAAAGAAAGGGTTAAATGGAGGTGGCAGTGGCAGAGGCAGGGCAGGGAGGCCAGTGTGTTGCCAGAAACCTCCCCCATCGTGGTTGTTACCACCCACGTTCGCATCCTCGGGCACTGGGCCTTGGGCAAGTGAAATGGGGGGTGCAGTCGCCTTTTCTATAAAGTGGTGATAGGAATCTCTGACTACTCAGAAGATTGGGGGAGAATGAAATGGAATAGTCATATGAAGCATGCCCATGTCTGTTGACACCCAGTCAGGGGTGATGCTGGTGATGCTGCTGATGAAGATTAAAAGACATATCTATGTCATTAAGGAGTTCACATCCAGAGGGGAATGGTCTTGTACTTAAATACTTGGCAGGTGTGGCAGCAGCCAAATCAGTGGTTCCAGCACCATGTGCTGTGGC